TTTTTTTGCAAATACCAGTGCTTAGAAAGAGCAAGCTACAACTACGTTGTAGTCGGAGAAGCGATAGATAAGAGATCTTTTTCTTATTTTATATTTAACGCACACTGTGTGCTCATCTCCCACTGTAACGTTACGAATATTACTTTCAATTCTATCGCAGATATGAGAGTCAGATCGCATTTGACAGACGAGATGTGAGAGAAGGTCGGTTTTTTTTTTTATAACTATTTCCAAGTCCGAACGAACAACAGAGCAGTCTGCGTGGGTGACGCAAAATATGAAGCCCCAGTTCTATAAACCAGAACGAGATTTCGTCGTTTGCCTCCCTCTCTCCCCCCAGAATACGATCGTATATAACAATGAAATCGAAAGGCGTATAAAAATCTGTAACGATTATAATGGGAAAAAGATTATTTCTCCCTCTCGGATTTATCGACGTCGACGCGCGCGGGACGTGCGTATACCTCTCGTATACCGGTGGCACACCGAGCGATGTGCGCGATCAAGGTCGCCGCGCACCGCGTCGCGCTCGGCCAGTCGATGATGAGCATCGACTTCTCGACCTTCCTTCGTAACGAAGAGGCCTCGCTCCGAGGCGAAGAGCCGTAAACAAAGGCGAGATTATCCGGATCCGTATATATGTATTCGGCTAGATTCTCCTTCCTATTCTCGATTGTAGGTGACGAGGTCAAACGTCTCTCGCGTTTTATTAGTGCGTCTTGCCCTTCTTCGAGGAGGGAGGGAGGAGGGGAAGAGAATGCGGACCTACATACGCTTTTTTAATTTTGTACGAGGTGTTTAATTTGTCGAGTGCGCGCGAGTCTTTCGGAATCTAAGTGAGCGTAAAGTCTTGTCGCGCACAATTATCATTCCAGCGCTCCTCGAGATTGCGTTCGGCGAATAAAAGTAATTAGGAATGTTGTTTTAGCACACACACACACACACACACACACACACACACACACACACACACAGATAGAAACCGCGTATCTCAAGATTAGCGCAATTGAAGATAATCTATTGCGACAATCTTTCCTGTTGTTTAACAACACCTTGTAATCGGCTTACGTAGTAATCGCTTAACCCTCCGACAGGCGCATACGTATCACAATAGCGATTCCGGTATGTTAATTATTATGTGTCGTCCCACGTAACCGTCTATACATATAATCCACTGGATGCTATGACCGAGAGAATGCGAATCCTCGCGGGATTTATTTAAATAAAACGTCACGATTTTCGTATCGAATGTGAACAGCTGACGCGGACATCGCGTTCCACACCGATCTGTCAAATATCCGTTCTCGCGGACTGTTGCGTCGTAACGGAACGCGGCGATGCGTAACGGCTGGCCCGATCGTTGAAAGATCATCACCGCGTTGTACTGTCATCACCGTGTTTCGTCGGCAAGGATCACCGTCGTTCTCACCTTCGGTTCGTCCGCCAGTCGGACTGTCAGCGAGGATAGAGCGCGGAAGCAGGTCACAGCCCCTGTCGTCGCGGATGCCCGGCTATACGCTTTCGGGCTACCTGGCCCCGTGTCCTCGTAGACTGACGAGAAAGAAGGAAAGAAGAAGAGACGGAGAGAAAAAGAAAGAGAGAGAGAGAGAGAGAGAGAGAGAGAGAAAGGAAGAGAAAGAGAGGGAGAGGAGCGGAGCCGTTTGATCTCCTTCCTCTCTCGCTTCGCGCGGAAACGTCAGCTCTGACTCTCTCGAGCTCGGGGACTCGTGAGCGCGGCGCCGAGTAAAAACCCGCCACGACGACCGACCCGACCGTACCGTCACATTCGTGCGCGAACGCTGACTGACGGACACGCGCGCGCGACGCGACACGACGGCCTTGTTCGGGGTCCGAGCCGATCGGTACACGGCTGGCTGGCTGGCTGGCGGCAGTGCGGCACTGAAGTGCGCGCGCCCGCGCGCGCGCGGTGTTCGACACTAGGCGTCGTTTACGGATGCTTGCGCTTGAAGCTGCAGCTTCCGAATCGAGAGCGCATATCTACATGTTAGAAACATATAATATTAAAAGAAAGAAAGAGAGAGAGAGAGAGAGAGAGAGAGAGAGAGAGAGAGAGAGAGAGAGAGGTTTATTAATGCACGGATACAACGTTATTTATCACGTTATTATCACGTTTGTAACGTTATTATCACTTGTAACGTTATTATAAATATTTAGCGTTTATATAGTGTATTATATATATATATAAGTGAGGAGAGAAATAAAGATGTATTTTTTGTTAATTTTATAGTTTATTAATATTTAGCGTATATAAAATAAATAAATAAATATATATAATATATATAAATTGGATTAATGAAATTTGTAGATATGCATATTTTTAACACTAAATATTGTAAATCATAGAAAGCAATTTATTTTATTTCTTGTCAATTATTCGAAATATGTCACAAAAAGAGAGATGCCGCAACAACATTTTCAACGAATTGTATAGAATAAATTGACAAGTCTTACCTAGATTTATATTGTTTTTCTCGGAACCTTTTTACAATTTGCCGATAAAGTATCGAATGTTTGTATAAAAGTTGCTTTGATTGTGAGAAAGATGTACTTCGACATAATCTTTTATCTGTCAGGAAGAAAGTTTGTCTCGATGATTATCATCGAGTACTACTTTATCTGCGGTAGAATAATCTGCTAGCAAATCGATCTACCACCAGTAAAGTAATATTCGATATTTCTAGTACTTATCTTAATTGTTTTAAATAAATGTAATATGTTCTCTTATGCACAATTGCTTATTCTAACATATATCTTGACATTTTGTATCTTATATTTATCATTTATTACATTTTACATTTGATGAAGACCTTTTTTAAAAAAAAAAACTGGAACGAGAAGAGAATACAGATATCTGTTTTTTTATTATATATGGGATTTGAACGAAACAAATTAGAATTACCCATTATGTTTTTCAACAATTAGTACTTAACATAATGCGATGTCGAGCGTATGATATTACGAATAAAAACGTGGAAGAATAAATTCTTTAATCTTTCTTTTTGAACGTATATACAGCAATGGCGATGACGAACAGTTCGAAAAACTACCTAAATATAGAATACGTGCGGTGCTATTGTTAGAACGTCTTCTCGAGTGCATCTCGGAGTACTGTATGAACTGTTTGAAAGCGTCTTAAAATAGACGTATATCATTTTATTCTTGAGAAATAAAAGTGAACTTCGTAGCTATTTAAATATCTACATATCTAAATAAAATGACATCATATATTTCAAGAAGCAATTTTAATGATAGAAACGATAAAGAGATGCATATTTGTCAAAATTGTTGTTTTTTTCTTTAATTTAATTAAAGATTCGATGAAAAGATCGAATCCGTGTATGCATGTTGCATATAACATTGCCTTTTGTAACGATTGAATCGGTGGGATCTAATCTTCTTTCATCGGGAAACTCTTGAATATCGGATCTGTTTTCTCGCAATCGAGGAAGTTCGACTTCCCAGGATGTGAAACACGCGCTCATGTTTGCATGCGCGTCTGCGCAGGAACACGGAGCAAAGATATACCGTCGACTTTGCGCAGGCGGTCTTTCGAAATGATATTTTTAGAGATGCGAGTCGCTGCCCGCTAGCAATGATGGTAGTCAAGAGTCGTCGTTGACCCTCGAAGCCGAAGCCACGAATCTCACGATTTTCCGATTGACCATTGGTGAGCGACTTTAAAGCTTAGGGATTTTAAATTATTTAATATTTTCAATACTTGCCTCTGTGATTTTATCATCCTTTTGAAGTAAAATAAAGTATCGGGTCTTCGCTATTAAATATAATAAAGCTCGTTACTCAATATATATTAAGGTCTTATTTATGCAAATCTTTTTGGATGCATTTGTTGAGTATGTTATACGCTATATTCTACTTGTTTCATCGAATGACTATTTGTTATTCTAGCGTTGTAATTAAAAGCTTTAAGCTAAATACCTCTTTCTATTTTTAATTAGTTTTTAATGCTACTTGAAGAGAGAGAAAGAAATACAATCTAGATCAGACTAGTTTCTAAAAATAAAAGCTGACACAATTCAAACTTTTTTTGTGGCAACCCTAGTACATACATCTGTACATTGATATTTAATTTAAATAGATAAGAAAACTTAAATAGATTAACAATATTGTCACAATTCTATAATAAATTCTGACTACAATTTAAAAAAATGCAACTTGAAGATATATATATATATATTATAATTATACAATACACGCTAGAGAAAGAGCATGAGTATTTATATTAAACTGTTATAATTTCGGCAAAATGAGTGATATATATTATATATATTGCATGGAATTATATATCAAGAAAATTATTTGTAGGAAAAAAACCAAAGGTACACATACATTTATTATTCTGACAATCGGAAAAGTTAGATGATGGGAGCATCAAGTAGTAGTAACAACATACATTCGATCTTTACGAACGAACAGGAAACGGGAGAGTGTTTATATTCGGAAGACGCTTGCTCTACGAAAGACCAGGAACAAAGAACATACGTCGGAACGAGCGTCTATAACGACGAGAATCAGCCACATTCGCAGGTACATTGTTCTTGCCAGAGAGAAAGACAGGGTATTTTATAGCAAATTTTTATTTGCAAAATTTTGGCGCGCAGGCTCCGAGTCCCTACGCGACCTTGAAGACAGGCGAATTCTGGGATCAAAAGCCAACGGCACCCAGCCTATCCAATATGTTACCATCTAAACGCGAGACCTCGGTGAGAGAGCTGTCGTTTCTTCTATTCTTGCTTTTTTCTTTGTTTTCGGCCGTATCGAGTTCTGAGATGAATGTCTTGCGCTATTTCCACCGAATGACAAAGTCGACGAGCACGTTTTTTTCACGATTATCGAGTCAGTCGCTATCAATATTTGTCTCGATTGTTCTCATGCAACCGAACGGTAATCGATTGTTTCCGGATAAAAACGCGCAGTTTTGTCCCGCGGAAACCGCTTCTGCCACGAAAAGCTGGCTCCTATCCAATCCGTGATTTCGGGAGAACACGCTGACTCACAGTCACGAAAAGCCGTTTCCACAATCATCGATCGCGATCACGTGCTTGGTCTCGGTCGACGGTTTCGCGCAACGTAGTGGTTCTGTGCCAGTATGCTATTGCGAATCGTCGAGAGCGGATTACTTTTTACTTGGACAACGCCGGAAGAATCTATTTCTACGAGAAATTGTAAGCTTGTACGAAATAATTTTCAATAGCGCATATTTTAAAATTCGTTTGGCGAAATTGCGGGAGAAAAGAAGAAAGAGAAATTCCTTTATATTCTACATTTTCTTTGTTCGAAGTCAGATGATTCATCGTTCGTGCGACCTTTGTCATAGTTAAATTTACAAAATCGTCGTCATCAACATTGTTGTTTATTTTACACAGGTACTAACACACACACATACATATACACACAGATAGTTTGAAAGAGATTTAAAAAAAGATATTTTGATTATGTTAAATTTTTTTCAAAGGAGCTATATTTTTGCGACAATTGATTTACATATTTCTAAACGCTTAAAGATTTAGGCTCTGTTATTTCACTTATTTATATTGCAGTTAACGTGCGCCACGCAAATGACAGGTTGGCAAACAGCCGACACTCACAATTTTCCGATGTATCAACAGAATAACGAAGTCATGGAGCTTTCGCGAATTATCTCGCAACTTGCCATGGCCAATCATCAATTAGCCAGCGCGCATAACGCGACACTGGCACGTATGGAGGCATTATATTTGGAGCTGTCAAAGGATAAGCAGGACCAAAAAATTGCGACAAATCCTTCGAAGATATGCGATGACATTCTTCGAAAGAGACTATCGAACACCGAAGAAGCCGTTGAGAGGGAAGAAACGCGAAAATTGGAGCAACGCGTCGTTAGATTGGAGAGACTGTTGGCAGCGAGTTCCGCTGAACAATGTAAACAAAGAAACTCGCGAGAAAATAGCAAACTGCGTTCTAGAATCGAGAGACTGGAGAATTTGCTGAAGACACGAGATAAAAAAGATCCGTCAGGATCTGTGGAATCGTATTGCGAATCTTCGGAACAACAAACGAGTAATATTGTCATCGATGCTGTTAATAAAGTACCTGAAGATTGTGGCGATAATCAAAGAAAAAGGGCGAAAGAAGAAATGGTTGATGTTTATAGATACTGTAATGCTTATTCTGATGATTCCGAAATAACTGTTCCTAGGATAGATGAAACTTCAGATTCCGCGAACATAGATAAAATGCGCAGAAGACGCGCAAGATTGAGAGACGATGAGCAAAGTTCGACAACGAGAAATTTGGGGAGTGAAGAAATAATGAGATTGTCGGAAGAAGTTGAGAGATTAAAAACTGATCGATTGGAATATCAAAGTGCCAACGAAAGACTGCTATGCAATTTAGCGGACCAGAACACGTTGATGGAGAAATTAAACTTAGATTATGAGGTACAATGACATTTGAAAACTCTTGATTTCAGAGGTTCCAAGAAGGGATCTAATCTTAATAATCTTTACTTTTTAATTAAAATGTAATTAAAATTATATATTTTTTTATTTAGGAATTGAAAGCGCGTTATGTAATGATAGAAGATAATTTACACGAGTACAAACAACAATATGACGAACTGACGAAGCACTTGGACACCGCTAAAGGAGAAATCAAAAGATTGCTGAAAGAGATTGATATCTTTCAGTCGGAAAAAAACACTGCCGATGCAAAAATCTTGATTTTGGAAGAGGATCTGCAGAAATCGCTGCTCGATAAAGAGCAGATCAAGAACGCGGAAAATGAGAAAACGTCAAAGTTGCGGGCACAATTGTCCGAGGAGGTTTTGGACAAAAAGAAGCAGATTAAGGCTCTCGAAGACGCTTTGCAGGAGATACAAAGACTGAAGGAAATTATCAAGACTGAAAGAAGCAACGAGAACAGTATTGCTTCGAAAGAGGATGTCGGTATGTTTATACATATATATCCATA